CCGCTAGGGTGGGTGCGTTGTGGGCCCCCTCCCCAGGCGGATGGCCACCCCCTTGCGGTGGGCGTTTGGGGGTCATCCCCAGTACCCCCTAGATGTGCCGTCACAGGGCTTCCCTTTGCCGTCGTTGGGATGCCTCACTGAAAAGTGATTTTTTTCGTTCAGATCGGATCCTGTCCCTCGCACCCCAAACCACACTGGTTACTCAAGGTGCCGGGCTGTTATAGCAAATAGTTTGCCTGTATTTGAGCCTTTCAGCGAGGGATTTAGGAAGAGGCCTTGAGGCATCCGGGAGCCACCTGTGCCATCTTGCCAGATGTGGCATCACGAAACGTGATTCCTTGGGACCTTGCTTTCTTTGGCGCACGTAACTACGGCCCGCGCAACAGTCAGATTTGTGGACTTGTCTTTCTGAAAGTACAACTGAAAGTACAACTTGCTGCCAGTGACGGACAGACTGTTGCTTTGTTTCTTGTTCTGCTGCCTGGGCTGGAAAAAATCTTTCCTGTTCGGTGCCTTTGTGGTTTTGCTCTTTTAGCCTGGTCTTGCTTAAATTTCTTGCTTTTTGTGGCGTGCGTGTAGCTGTGATTTGGGAACAGGAGGGCTTATATTTTTTTCAGGTGATGCTTTGATTTTTTGTTTTTCTCGTGGATTAGGTACCTAGATAGACTTTTTCTTTTTCATCTTCCAAAAGAGTGTTGAGTAGGTATGTCCGACTGTGCCTCCTGACCATCTCCAGTTTGAAGCTGCATGTAAAATTCCTTTTTAATGAGTGGACTTTTAGTGGATACGTGTATTTACAGCTTGAGGTGAACACAAGTGTACATGTAGGTGTACACAAATATTTTAACTACCTTTCTTTAAAATTGTACTTTTAGTTTTTGTTTAGAGTTACGTGAAAGATAGTGTTACCTGGTAGATTTAGGGTGCTTCTTGTATAACCATGTTTAAGGCAGCATGTATTTAACATAGCTCTTCATATACAAATGTAAAGTTGAGTAGTGATTCAAGTTGAGGATTATTTGATTTAAAGATAATAGAAGCAGCTCTTGATTTCATTACACAAAACTCCTCCTAGTTGTTTGGCTCTCGGAGTGTTCGTTTTGGCCTGCAGATAGGCACTCACGCAACTTTGTTATTCATTTTTAGTATACCCAGGTTTGTGGGCTCCAGCCTAGATCAGAGGGACCCTGTTGTGCTAGTCAGAGCTGCCAAATATAAAAAGAATTTATTTTTAAATCCCCTCTCCAAAGAACTTGCATCCTCCGCTCTAGAGAAGACATGCAAATATGGCCCTTGGTAGGCTAGGTGGTGTGCTGCCTCATGGCTTTTGCTTCTACTCCAAAGTTTATAAAGGACTGTCTTTACTTATTCTGCTTTTATTGGTTAATATGTGAACATACTGGGAAAGTGCTGTGATTGTGGAGCTCTCATCATGGCCTCATGAACCTTGGTGTGGGTGCTGGACCTATCTGAGCTGCTTCCCATCCACGTCATGAAGAGGGCAAAGGCTGTGGAGCAGCAGCCCTCAGAGGTGGGACTGAACAGCAAATTTGGCAAAGGCAGGTTGCATTGATGGTTAACCATTAGCTGGTGTCTTTGACATGATTGTAGAGGAATTAGAAAGGGCCTTTTGAAATTAGACTCTGGTTGAGGTGAGGTGTAAGACCGAGGGGTGGCGCTTCTGTATGTTTTGTCGATTGGCGTCGGAGATGCAGAAGCGTCCGTGGATGCTAGTGAGGACACCCCACCGATGTGGGGATGTCACCTGAGATGTTCTCTGCAGAATATCCCCTGGCTTGTGTGGTCCTGCTTGTGCCTTGACCTCCCATCCCTTATCTTTTTGGATTTTCTTCCAAGTCTCTGCTGCCTGAATTGCTTGTGTTTACTAGAGCTTCACCAAGGCAGGTTCGTCTCACCCTCCTAAAACAGGATATATCCTGGCACAAACTGAAATGACCTCAAAGAACACAATTTGGTGTATTTTCAAGGTCTTCAGCCAAGCTGTTCTCACTCCCCGGTGCATGTAAGGATACTTGCCTGGGTCTCAGCAGCTGCTGTGCCGTCTTGTTGTGATAAGACTTTTTGGGTTATTCACCTCATTTCTCATAGATGGAATAGCCCACATATAGCACCATGGTAATTCAGCCGTATCACCTCCTGTTCACGAGCCGGCCTGGTTGGAGTTAGCTGAAAGGTCTCTGCACAGCATTGCCTGAAGCAACTTGCCTACACTTGGGCATGTATCTGAAAGTTACTCCATCAAAATCACTGAAGAGATTTGTGTAAAGAGGTGCTGAAGGATTTACTGTATCTACTTTCAGGCAGGGAGCCTATTTTTTTTTAAGCTCTCCATATATTTTTAATTGTTCCTGAAGTCTGCCATAATCCTAAATGTAAAAGGCAATAGATATTTTCATTGGCAGCTTTCTCATGTTACTTAGTTTTATAATAAAGGCATGAGAGAATGAATTTTAGAGCTAATTTGAAAACATCCACCCATGTTAAAACAGCTTAAAAAGGGCTCAAATAAACTCAAGTTCAAGAGAAAAAAGAACAAAAAACCTGTGTTCTGATGTTTCAGACCTCAGCTCCCAACCTTGCCGGGTAAGTCCATTTCCAGCCACCATAAGGCCTGCTGCCTGAACACCTTTATTGGGGAATCAAGTTGGTCAGTCAGAAATGTTCTTATACAAAGATTATGCAGGAATAAACTCTTCAATTTCAGCCTGTGTCTGAAGACACCCCAGGTCATTTTTTCTCACGAGAAGTATATTGAAATCAATTTTGGACAAAACGTTGATGCTGTGTTCTTCCTAGGTAAGTTTTGTTATATAATATAATGCTCAGCA